ATCTCTGTTAAACTCAGACATTCTTTTTTTGAGTCTTTCTTTTTTTGAGACAAAGACTTGTGTTTTTAACCAATTATTAACCTAAGAATTTCTAAACTTACTTATAGTCTGTAAGCTGCTACACCTAGATGCTCCAACTTTTTGGGTCAGGACAGTATAAAAACCCATGTGTTGAATCATAGTTTTCCTGTTCTCATAACTGAAAGAGTTACTATAGCTAAGCCCCTAGGAACACTCTCTCAGAACATGGGCACTCAAAATTTCGGCTTAAATAGACCTTAAGTATTTTCACAGAGTTTGGTTATTTCCATTGACAACAATAATCATTTTATGTTAACATGATTCTTCTTGGAGTTGAACAGTGGTACAACAGGAACATGCAATACTCTGTGAGATGACTCGCTTGAGAGGATCCTGGGGTCACATCCCAAGACCTCCTAGTGTACCAAGCTGGCATGCACCCATGATCTGGGATTGGCTGAAGGTTGGCATCGACCAGTTGAGGATGCTATTTTTCTCTCTATCTTACTCATGGAAGAAATAAAATAAGCTTGTCACCAACAGGCGAGCATAGAGATTAAGGCACTAGACTCCCACATGGCTGATCACAGTTTGAGTTCTGGACCCAGCCGCTTGAAATTCATGCTGTGCGCATATGTGTGCATACCCAAAATCTTGAGAAGAGAATGGAGGAGAAAGGATTGCGAAGTGGTTTAGGGGAGTGATTTTCCATTTTCTGTCTCTCTGTCTCTCTAGATCTCCAGTAAGTGCACATGCCCTATAATAAAAATCTCAAATAAATAAATAAATAAGCTTTTAAAAAGGCAAAAATAATAATTATTGAAAAATACTACAGAGGGGAACCAGCAGTTATCATAATGGCTATGTTGCTGGACTCCCACGTAGTCGACTGCGGTTCGCGTCCTGGACCAAGTGGCTTAAAACTCATGCCGGGTGCCTGTGCGTGTGTACTCAAGATCCCGAGAGGAGAATGGAGGATAAGGGATTGCGGCGTGACGATCCCCTCTGGGGGGTGATTTCTCGCTTTCTGTCTCTATGTTTCTCTCTGCCGGTCTGGCGAGCGCACGCGCCCTATAGCGAAAACCTCTCCAAAAAAAAAACCTACAGACACATAATAAAGCCCACCACATAACAACAAACCGAAAAAGAACTAACTGGTAGTAAAAATTTTAATGCACTAGGACCAGCAAGTGGTGTGGTGGTTAAGGTGCTGGACTTTCACATGGCTGATTACAATTGATTCCTGGCCTGGAGGCTTGAAAATCATGCAGGGTGCATGTGCATGTAAGCCAAAATCCCAAGAGAAAAAATGGAGAAGAGGGATTGCAGCATCTCCATCCACACACCCCCAAACAGGGGTGAATTCTTACTTTCTCTCTGCCACTCTCTGGCAAGTGCACATACCATATAACAAAAACAAACAAACAACAACAACAACAAAATTATTTGGCAAGAAAATAATACAAATCATCTTCCATTCAGATTCTGTAAAAAAAATATGATGGGCTAAATACATTTCAACACTGAAAATCCCATTGAAACTTTTGTCATTTCTGACTTTTTGAAAATTAATGTACATTGTTGAGTTAATCTTTCTAAATTAATGTTGATACTCATAGTATAAATAAAAAGTAGAAATTGAAGTTTATATGCAATGCAATGGTGTCTTGAAATTAAGTATGACAGCATTAAAATAATAGATTATTAAATATCTCTGGAGTAGCCACCCTAAACACACAACACACACACACACACACACACACACACACACACAGACTCTCTTTCATATATGTTTGAATAACACTTATATTTGCTATAAAAAAACTATTTCCTATTACAGAGTTATTTTTCCAGATTAAAAAAATAATAATAATAAAACTAAGGGACTAGGAGATGGCGCACTGGACGCCATGTAGTCAACCGCAGTTTGAGTCCTAGATCTGGCTACTTCAAACTCATGCCTGGCACGTGTGCCTGTGTTCCCCAGATCCTGAGAAGAGAATGGAGGAGAAGGAATTGCAGTATGGACAATCCCCATGGGAGGTGAATTCTCACTATCTGCCTCTCTGTCTCTGTCTCTTTAGCGAGCGCACACACCCTATAGCAAAAATCTCTCTCTCTCTTAAAAACAAAGAAAAAAATTCAAGATGAGTTTTTAAACCTTGCATGAAAATAGTTAGAAATTAATAATGACATTTTGCTTTAAAAGAATTCAGTCTCCTGTTCCAATTGAAAAGTATGTTATAAAATAAAATAGATCATTAATACTATATTTTTATACTACAGATTTAAGATACAAAATGCAAAAGCATGCATGCTTTGTCATATTAACACAGTATATTTCAGGAGAAAAAAAGACATTTCTAGCATCTGTTTCTTTCTGTTTAGCATCTGACTTTTCTAATGCTACATTATCTCCCTATCCTTGTAGGCATTTGGATTTGTGGGTCTTATTCACACTAAATGAGCTCTTTGTGGCCATTCTGTTATCATGCTATTCCATTCAATTTAAGTAAATGTGATATAATTGAATCTTACTCGATTTAATGATTCATTAACCCAATCACTCTTTAATAATATTTCCCCCCAAAACTACTAACTTGTCTTCATTTTGGTGCATAATAAATCACTGTCAATATTGATGTCCACCCAAAAATAATATTTATTTCTAATCTGAATGTAGGTTTCAGGATTTTTGCATGGGTTAGACTAATCCTAACTAGACTTGATCACATCTAAGTGTTTGTGAGATGACTCTGCTCATGTGTTCCCCATTCTTCTCCTTGGTAGTCTGGATATGCTGCTTTTGCAAAAGCAAAAGCACAGGGATCAAGTCCCAATGTACAAACCGATCCCCATCCTTCATTTCTATATGTCAATAGCATAAGCTTCTATATTTGATTGGCTAAAGAAAATCATGTAGTTGAGTGCAGAGTGAAAAGGCAATGAAATTCAGTCTTCGTGTGTACAAGAGCACTACAAAGTAAGCATTGTGGGGTGCAGATTTAAGGCAGGATAATTCAATGGGGTAATCTTGAAATGAGTATGCATTTTAGATGCCCATAAAAAAATAAAAAGAAGTAAACAAAGTAAGAAAGAAACAAAACAGAAAATCAAACAGGTTTCCAGAAGAAAGACTCAGAGATCTTTATTAATACAGTTAGATAGATTAATAGAGTTAGAATCTCTACTTTTAGAAGCAAGTTAAAAAGGATAACTAAAAATAATCTCACTGGAATATTGCAAAAAAATGACACATACGCTATATTCAAAATCCTTTCAAATGGATACTTAATGCAAAAGTATGAGGTAAATTATCAGGAGCAAATACAAAGAAAGATGTTAAAAAGTTAAAAGTTCAAGTATAAACTTTTGGGGCTTCACTTGGATATTTTACAGAACCATTTTGTCACTCCAGGAGACTGAAAAATATGGCCCTGGGGTCAGTTAAGGTGCAAAGTTGGAACTGAAGACCATATGTGATAACTGTACCCTCAAATCTCTCCATGTTCTGTAGCAAAGTATAAGAGAACCAAAACTTTTGCTCTGAAGCGAAATCAAAATTCCTCTGGAAATGTTCATCCTTAAACTTCAAAAGAATTAAACAGATAAAATCTTTGAAACACAGTCTGCCAAACAAAATTCAGAATGATAAAACATGCTACCATGAACAGGAATAAGCAGGAAATGGGCTACTGGTTAAGCACTGTGCAAAGAAAGATGGATCTCTTTTTTTGTAGAAGTTTTTGCCATAGGGCATGTGCGCTTGCCAGAAAGACAGAGACAAAAAGTGAGAAATCACCCCGCAGGGGGGATGGCCATGCCGCAATCCCTTCTCCATTCTCCTCTTGGGATCTTGGGCAAGCATGCACATGTGCCTGGCGTGAGTTTAAGCCACTGGGTCCGGGACTCAAACTGCGATCGACTATGGGAGTTCAGCAACATAAGACATTACACAAATTGCTGGTCCTGAAAGCTGGTTCTTACATGGCCAGACAGTTTGAGTCCTGGCCCTATTAGCTTGAAAAACACAAAGGCAATGTGATACACACCAGCATCCTGACAGGATGGAGAACTGGAGATAAAAGGACTATGGCATGACCAGTCTTTCTTCAGATATTCTGTTTTCCTTTCTCTTTCTCTTTTTCATTCATGTGCACTTGTCCTCTGACTTTAAAATATAAAGAAGCAGAAAAATATATAAAAAAATCACCTCTCAGTAATTAAATTCTCAATGTTATAATTCTCAGATGTAAACTCATAAACATGTTAAGCATTAAGAGAATAATTAAAAGACAAAATGTAGGAAACTAAAGGAGACTATCAAGTTGATTTTTAAAATGTTAAAATAGGCACTTTTAAAAGTATCTATAAACATCTGTAATCATTGATATTAAAAATAAAACTATAAATGAGGTTAAATATGTCAAAAACTGAATTAAGAAAATGGCATAGATCTTTGAATGACACTACAAAGTTCTTGATTTCTTGTCCTGTCTTTAATATAAAAACCACAAATGGAAAACAATACCCCATTTCGTATAAGAATAACCATATTCTTATACAGTATTAAAAGTTTATTAAATGTCAGGGCCAGCAGGTGGTGTGGTGGTTAAGGTGCTGGACACTCCCACATGGCGGACCAAGGTTTGAGTCCAGGTCCTGGTGACTTGCTTTCTCACTTTCCTTCTCTCTCTCTGTGTGTCTCTCTCTGGTCAAATTAAAATAAATGAATGAATAAATAAAATTTTTAAAAAAGTTTATTAAATATGATTGCCTGCATCTCTATCTCCTACAAAGTTTTTAGTAGATACTTTTTTAAAAATTTTCTTCAAATCCTTCTCTCATTTTGTTTTTTTTGTAAAAAGTACCCAAAGACAAGGGAGAAACATATGAAATTGGAATATATCACACAACGCTCAGAGTTTTTTTGTTTTATTCAGTCTAAAACATTGTTATCGCATTGTACTTATCCCATCCTTTAGTTTCAGTTTTCTACAAAGTGACATACAAAGTGACATAGCCCCAAAACACACACAGATTCCATTGCCCCAGTCAAATAATTTTCTAGTTATGTTTTCGTTTCCTCAATCCCAGTGTGGTGCAGATGCCAAGCTAATCTGTTTGAGGGAGCTATAAAAAGTGAAAACAAACAAACAAACAAAAAAAACACAAACAAAAACAAAAAACAGAATTAAAGCACAAGTTTACCTTAATTAAAAAAAATAATAATAAAATCCATTCAGAGTTTTCTCGTATGTATTTCCCATGAGTTTTTGAAAACCTTTCACATTCTTAATGATTAAAACTAACAGTGTTGGGACCAGCAGATGGCATAATGGTTACGTTGCTAGACTCCAATGTAGTCAACTGAGGTTTAAGTCCTAGACCAGGTGACTTAATACCCATGCCAGGTTCATGATGTGCATGCCTGAAATCCCAAGAGCAGAATGGAAGAGACAGGACTCCAGTGTTTCTATTCCCCCCGATGGTTAATTTTTTGCTTTCTGTCTCTCTGGTGAGCACACAAGCACTATAGAAAAAAACTCTTTTAAAAAAAAAAAAAGAAAAGAAAAGAATAATGTTACTAACTTGAACAGATTAAGAATGTTTTTTGGGGACTGGCAGGTGGTGTGGTGATTAGGGTGCTGGATTCCCACATGGCTGACAGTGGCTTGAGTCTCAGTCCTGGTGACTTGCTGTCTCACTTTCTCTGTCTCTTTTTCTCTTTCTCTTTTTCTTTCTCTCTTTCTCTTTTTCTTTCTCTTTCTCTTTCTTTATCTTTCTCTCTCTGTCTGGTCAAATTAAACAAATAATAAAAAAAAATAATTACTTAATTTTTTTTGAAATTTAAAGTTTGTAACTGACACTTAACTATAGAATCATTTCAATGCAAGATAACATTATCATTTTTTTTGAGAGAGAGAGATTTTTGCTATAGGACATGAGAGCTTGCTAGAGAGACAGAGAGAGAGAGAGAAAGAGAGAAACCCCCCCCTTAGGAATGGCCATACTGCAATCCCTTCTCTTCCATTCTCCTCTCTAGATTTTGGGCACCCACGCACCCACACCTGGCATGAATTTCAAGTGCCAGGTCTGGGTCTTGAACCAGTTGAACACATGGGAGTACAGCACTTTAACCTCTATAACCCCTGCTAGTCCAGGCATCATTCTTTTTAAGGTTAGCATTCCCCACAAAGTTTATTAATTCTGGCTTTACATAAACTAAGAAAATATCAATAGTCACTAATGGAAAAGCTGTTCTTCAGTCAATTTATGTAGGAAGTAATTTCTTCCATTTCCTCAGTATAAAACCTTTCCACAGAATCTTTTTATTTGTAATTATAATGGAGAGGTCGTCAAGAACACAGATTCTGGAACCAGAATATTTTGATTTGAATCTTTTTTTCTTTTTTTTTTTTTTGAGAGATTTTTTTTTGCTATAGGGCACATGCACTCACCGAAAGACAGAGAGAGACATAGAGACAGAAAGCAAGAAATTAACCCTCCCCCCCAGGGGGATGGCCACACCACAATCCCTTCTCCTCCATTCTTCTCTCAGGATCTTGGGAACACATGCACATGCACCCGGCGTGAGTTTAAGTCACTGGGTGCGTGACTCAAACCACTGTCAACTACGTGGGAGTCCAATGACATAGTCATTACGCCAACTGCTGGTCCCACTTTGGTTTGAATCTTCACTGTTCCTTTTAAAAATTGTATGACTTTGGGCAAATTGCTTACTCCTTTTTTGCTGAGCTTCAGCCACAAAGAGGGAATAGCTATACTATCTAACTTAAATAGTTGTTTTCAGGATAAAATTAATTTATATATATAAAGTATTTAGAACTCTTTAAGAGTAAATCCAGAAGAAATATTAGCTATCATTAATACAAAATCTTTAGTATAATTATTTTTGCTATTCTTCATTTTAAATATGTACTCATTAAATTTATAGCCCAGGGACCAGCAGGTGGCATGGTGGTTAAGGTGCTGGACACTCCCACATGGCCAACCACGGTTCAAGTCCTGGATCTGGTGGCTTGCTTTCTCACTTTCTCTTGCTCTCTCTGTGTCTCTCCTGGTCAAATGAATAAATAAATAAACTTAAATAAATCTTTAAAAAAATTATAGCCCATCTATAACTTGCATACATGTCATGTGCCTATAAACTAAATAATAATTCTATTCATTCATCCACCCACCTGTCCAATTATCCATCCATTCCATACATTTATATCTCTAGTAATCAAATATTTATTACATTTCCCTATTTCGAATTGCTTTCTGGTTGAAATAAAGCATAGAGTTTAAGGAAAAATAAAGAGATGCAAAGGAAAAAATTCTATCTAATTTTTAAGTAATATTATGGTAAGAGTAATTACATTTGCCTGAGTTAGTAAGAGCACTATATAATAGCTAAATTTGGAGCTGAAACATGAAGTATAAGTAAAGTAAGTCAGGTTTCTAAGGGACTGCGGAGGGCATGAGTAAAAAGCAAAAGGAAGACTGGAAAACCCCTCAATCTAAACAGGAGGCGCTTAAGAAATTTAAATCTATGTTGCACTGAAAGTAACCTGAGAAATAACCGAAATCATGCCCAGTTCCACTCTTGACTAGATTAATCCAAATCTCCACATTAATGCCTAGCAGCATAAAAATTACTCGTCTCAATCATTATTGACCAACAGAATCCATCTAGCTTTCAACCAATATCTATGAGACATATAAGAAGAAAAGTAGCACACTGTTCAGGCAAAAACCAACAGGGGCCAGCTGGTGGCATGGTGGTTAAGGGAATTTGATTCCACATGACCTATTGAATGGTTTTTGTCCTGCAACTATTGGCTTGAGAGACATGCTGGTCACATGTGTATACATGCCTAAAATCCTGAGAAGAGAATGAAAAAAGGTTTGTGGAGTGGCCATCCTCCTTGATGGGTGATTTTTCGCTTTCCTTCTCTCTGTCTCTCTCTCTGGAGAGCACATGTGACAAACAAACACAAACAAAAACAGAAAATCAATTAACAAAATGAAATTTAAATAGGATGGAGAAGTTAGAACTAGCTGACAAGGAACTTAAAAATATCTATGACTAATGAAAAACATGTCTGGCATGTGAAATCATATGGATAATTTTAATATAAAGATGGAAACTATAAAAATCAACAGAAGTGCTAAAAATAAACACACGGCATGCCTGCAAAGACACAAACACATGCACAGTCCCTCTACCAGGCTAATTGTAGACTTAATAAAGCCAAGAAAAGAATCAGTGAACTTGATAGGCAAATTGAAAATTACGGTTGAAGATATCAATCATTTTACTCAGCAACTGATATAAGTAGACATAAAATCAATAAGAACTGTACTATGAGCTGACTTTACCTAATTGACATGGATGGAATTCGCCACACAGCAAATGCAGGATACACATTATTTTGAGCTATAAATGGAACATTCCCTAAGATAGACCATATTTCCAGTTGTAAAGCAAAACTTAAGAAATGTAGAACAATAAAAATAGCACAAAGTAAATTCTTGGGAAATAATAGAATTGAACAAGAAAACAATAACAAAAGATTCCTAGAAATATCCAAATACTTGGAAATTAAACAATATATATCTAGGCAGCCAATGAGTCAGAAAGAATTCTCAAGAAAAATTAGAAATATTTAAACTGAGTAACAATAAAAATATAACATGTCAAATTTTTGGTACGTAGTTAAGCAGTCATTAGAGGGAGGTTTATAGTAATAAATGTTTAGATTATAGAAGAAGAAAAGTCCTACATCAGAATGCTAAGCTTTTACATTTAAGAGCAAATTTAATTTACAATAATATGGAAAAAAATAAAAGTAAGAATAGAAATCGATAAAATTAAAAACAAGAAAATAGTATAAAAATCATTGCAACCAAAAGCCTTTTTAAAAAATTAGATAAATAAATATGTAGTGGTACTGAACTTTAAATAAGATAGAAGACACAAAGTACTGATAGAATGAAAACAGACATCAATAAAACTGTATGGACATTAAAAAGATGATATAAGAATATTTTGCAGAAGTTAATGTCTATAAATTAGATAATTTAGATATAAAGGAACTATTCCTTCAAAGACAAATCTACTAAAATGCACTTAAAAAATAATAAATTGAATCATCCTCCTCTGTGGGAGAAATTGAAGTAGCAATTTAAAACATTCTAATAAAGAAAATTCCAACCTGAGATGATTTCATTGGTCAATTATAGTAATTATGGAAGAAATAACAATCCTTTACCTTTTGCTTACATCAGAGAAAATCGTGTGAAGTTTATCCAGAAAATATTTTATAGTTTTGGCTATTTTACAATATTTCCAAAATCATTTCCAAATAGCATTAAATAATTAGAAAGGAGTATGATAAAATTTTAAGAAGGACCAACTGAATTTTATGACAAAGAGCTATTGATAACCACAATATCAAAGAAGTCTTGAGTGTTTTAACTTTGATTCTCTTCTTTAGAGTTTTCTGCTAAGGATAATTATGGCCACTCAAAACATGGATAAGAATAAGAGAGTGAGATATTACAATTGAGATAGACAAATAATAGATCAATAGAACATAGAGTCTAGAAATAGAAGCACACAACTTGACATTTTTTTTCTTGCAAAGTTGCCAATATAATTCACTGGGGAATAAGATCTTCTCTAAAAATTAAGCTGTAGTAACTGGATATTTGAACAAGGAAAAAAATTGACCATCCCTAATTCATACCATACACAAGTATTAAATCAAAGTGCATAGCAGACCTCAAGAAAACATTGATTTCAATGCTTTAGGAAAGAAATATTTCTTAAACAGAGTGATTGCCCTCTTTGTTATAAAATTAATAAAAATGTATTTTCATCAAAGTAAAAAAGTTAGGTATTTTAAAATATAACATTATGAAAATCTACAAAACAATATTGAAAGAAATTGGAAAATGCAAATAAGTGCAACGCTACCCAAAGCAATATACAGATTCAGCATAATTCTTTTCAAAGTGCTAATGACAGTTTTCACCAAAAGAGTTAAACCAATTCTAAAATTTATACAAAATCTCGCTCTCTCTCTCTTTCTCTCTCTCTCTCACACACACAAACACACACACACACACGCACACACACACATAAAACCCAGAGAGTCAACATCATCATGATACAACAAAACAAAATAAAACATCAGAAAATATCCCTGTTTTTACATTATACTACAAGTTATAAGTGTTTTTGTTGTTTAATTTTGCCAGCGGGCCCGTGCACTTACCACAAAGAGAGAGGGTGGGGATGAGGGGAGGTGAGTGAGAAAACACCTCCCATGGAAAATGATCAAGTAATAGGCCCTTCTCCTCCATTTCTCCTTCCTTTCATGATTTTGGGCACACACACACACACACGCACACACAGATATACACACTTGGTGTGTTTTTAAGTCTCTAGGTTTGGAATTTCAACGACATGGTTTGCCACATGGGTTCTAGCCACCTTAACTTCCATGTTAAGGCTGGTCCCAAATAATAGTTATTTAAAAAATATAGTCCTGGCATAAAAATAAACATACAGACTAAGGGAACAGAATAAAAAGCCCAGGATAAATAAGCATATATGTTTAACAAATTTTTGACAAAAACCACCAAATAGGCATAATGGGGAAGTAATATTCTCTTTAATAAATGCATAGAGAAACTGGATATCTATATGCAAAAGAACTGGATTGAACTCTTTTCTTCCACACTAGCCAAAAATCAACTGAAAATGAAAGACCTAAACATAAGACCTGAAATCATGTAAAGTCAATTCCTCAGGTTTCCTCTGCCCTCTCATGTTTATTGAAGCATTAAGGTATGGAAAGTGTCCATCCATGGATAAATGGGAAAAGAAATTAGAGTATATACAAAAAGGAAGGAGATACTGCCATTTATTGCACAAGGATGAAGCTGGAGGATGTTATGGTAAGTAAAATAAGGCAAAATTACAGAACAAATAATAACATACAATTTCACTTACATGTAGAATTTATTTATTTATTTATTTATTCATTTATTGCCAGAGGGCATGTGCACTCACTGGAGAGAGAAAGGAAGAAAGGGAGAAGAAAAAGTACCTCACATGCAGAGTGTGGTACTTTTCCTCCATTTCTCCCTTGCCTCACGATTCTGGGCATCTACACAAATGTGTCCAGCGTGTTTCCCAAGCCGCTGGTCTGGGACTTGAACCACGGGTTGGTTATGTTAGATCTGGCTGCCCTAATCACCAAGCCATTGAGTCAGCCCAACATGTAGAAGAGTTTTTAAAAAGTTAAATACTTATAAAGATAGAGAATGATGGTTATCCATGGCAGGAAGGAGAGGAAATAAGGAGAAGTGGGATCAACGGGTACAAATTTGCATTTATGTAGGATAAATAAACTAGAGATTTGATGCCCAACATGAGAGCTAGAGGAGTAATATGGTATTGTACACTAAAAGTTTGTCAAGAGAATGGACTTTAGGTGCTCTTACTCCCCCACACTCCACATCTGCTACATATAGTATCTATGGAAGGTGATGGATAATTTTCCTAATTGTAGTAATTATTTCACTATGCATATGTATATCAAAACATGTTTTATAACTTAAATGTATATAATAAAAAAAGGAGAGAAATAAGTCACAGGTTGCAAGAAAATATTTTCTATAAATATATTTCTCAGACTTGCATCTAAAATATACAAAGTAGAACCCTTAAAAGATGAGGAGGGTAAAACAGATAATTCAGTTGAAAAATAGAGAGTCCTACTCACTATGACTCAGTCGTGATACAAGTGCCCTGCAAAACTGGAAGCCATATGGTGAATTGTGGGTTGAGATTCCTGGATTGGCTTGGAAATATGCCAGGTGAGCATACTTAGGCGCTCAGGATCCCGAGGAGCTGGAGAAATGGGGATAAGGGATTGTAGCATGGCCAGATTTTGTCAAGAGTGCATCTCTCTCTGGGAACCAGCAGTTAGTGTAATGGCTATGTCGCTGGACTCCCACGTAGTCGACCGCGGTTCGCGTCCCGGACCCAGTGGCTTAAAACCCACGCCGGGCACGGGTGCATGTGTGCCCAAGATCCCGAGAAGAGAATGGAGGAGAAGGGATTGCGGTGTGGCCATACCCTCTGGGGGGTGATTTCTCGCTTTCTGTCTCTCTGTCTCTCTTTGTCTGTCTGGCGAGCACATGCGCCCTATAGTGAAAAACCTCTCAAACAAAACAAAACAAAAAAAGAATGCATCTCTCTCTCTCTCATGCATATAAGCACCTGCTTTCTGAAATTTTATAAAAGGCACACTTGAACAGTAATTTTATATCAGAAATTCTATGTAAATGACCAATATGTACATCAAGACACTCTTCAAATCATTAAGCATAGAAAAATGCAAATTATAGTTACAGTGAAATGTAACATATCTATTAGACTATCTAAAAATAAAAAGATACAATATACTAGCTGATAATGAGCATATGAAGCCAAGCGCATGTTTGTTTTAAAAGTTAAAAGCCAATCATTTTGGAAAACATCTGGCAATTTTAGTTAAAGTTAAGCACACACCACTCTGATAACACAAAAATCCTCTTCTTTTAAATCCTGGAATTCTTCAGAAGGAAGAAACGTGTTCATAAAAAGACTTCTGCCAACATTTCTATAGCTTTTGAAAGCAACCTAATATCTAACAAAAAGAAAAGTGGCATATTTACAAAGGACTCTTATCAGGAAAGCTGAATATGTTCATTGTGTTAAGGAATAAAAAGTAATATATTTATTGTGTTAAGAAATAACTAAATGAAGGGGACCAGCAGTGGCGTGGTGGTTAAGGCGCTGGACACTCCCACATAGCTGACCACGGTTCAAGTCCTGGACCTGGTGGCTTGCTTTTTCACTTTCTCACTTTCCTCTCTCTGGTTGAATTTAAAAAATAAATAAATAATAAATCTTTTAAAAAAGAAAAGAAATAACTAAATGAAAGAAAAAAAATGAAAGAAAAAATATAAAAGGAAGGGAAATATGAAATCATAATAAACTGTGACTGATAAAGTTTAGATGGTTAGAATGGCTGAATCCTACATGGCTGATTGAGAGTTTGAGTCCTAGATCGGCCAACTTGAGGAACATGACAGGCAATTATTTGTGCATGCCCAAAATTTTGGGAGGAGAATGGAGGAGAAGGGATTTTGGCATGGCCATCCTCCATGGGATGGTGCTTTTTCACTTTTTTTCTTTTCTTTTTTTTTTTTTTTGTTTGGTGAGATTTCTCCTGTATGTCATGTGTGCTTGCGGCAGAGACAGAGAAAGACAGAGAGATAGAAAGCGAGAAATCACCCCTCGGGGGGATGGCCACACTGAAATCCCTTCTCCATTCTTTTCCTGAGATCTTGGGCATGCAGGCACATGCTCCCCGTGTGAGTTTTAAGCCACCAGGTCCAGGACTTGAATCGTGGTCAACTACACGGGAGTCCAGCAACATAACCATTAGGCCATCTGCTGATCCCACTTTCTCTCCCTTTTTCTGATAAGTGTATAAGCCTGATAGCACACTGAAAAAATAACAGATAAAAATAAATAAATGAAAGGGAAGATGTGAAATAATGATATGAACTGTGCTTTTGATAAAATCTATTCTCAGTGGGACACCATAGCTCTTCAGGGTATACACTGGGTACATATACACACCTGTATACTTTCACAGCAATTGGAAGAAACTTCTCATAGACCTGAGTAAGGGAAGATTTATAATAATACATTAACAATTGTTAGGACAATACCATATAGCAGATTTTCCCTTCATCCTGAACAGTTTGTAAAATACATGTTAGATATTCAAAATTGAATATTGAAAATTATTTCTGCCTAATACCCCACTTCACTTAAAAACAAAAACTTTCCCTCCCCACTTTTAGTATATGTATTGTATTTTTCAGAAAACAATCAACCTGAACACCAATTGATTTTACTTTGTGTGCCCAAAGTTGCTCACTTTTTCAGAAATTAATGCTAATAGCAATATTAATGTTTGAGGCTCCAGTGAACACAATTGTATTCATTTGTATTTGTAGCTACTGCTTTAGTGAATGTTCTACACACAAATGCTTGTATCTTATTAGTTCCTTATATCTTCTATGGGTAGTCATGCCCATGTATTTAAAAACTGAAATGTAGTATTATTTTATTACAAAATACTTTTATTATATTTTATTTACATTACATTTAGAACCTTGTATTGACTTTATGAAATGCATAATATGTATGCTTCTATGTATGTGTTTGATTTTTAGGGCAGATGTGATGGTTAAAGTATTTGGAATAAATGAAAGGTATCAAGTATCTGAGACTCTACAACTTTGTTTTAGAAACTTGTGAAAATAAGAAGAATGGGATCATAACTAAAGGTATATTTTTAAACTATTTGAATTTAATGTACAAACTGAAAAGTTGAAAGGTGTTAAGTTTATTTATAGACACGGGAAGAAGCAACAAACAATGGAGAAAAGGATAAATGTACTTTGCAGATGGGCGAGGCAGTACTACCTCAAAAGGATTGAGTAGAAAGGTTAGAAATGGCTTGTCCTAATATAGCCAATAACAAGATATACCTCCTAGCTCAGTGGCTCTTGGCATGTATTTCTGAGTGATTTGTTGCTGTTTGCATGTTACTATTGTCTCCTTCATTTACTGTTAGGTCTCTAGGTAAACCAACACATGTATTTCTACAACATATATTGCTGATCACATAAGTCAACACATGCTAGGAGCTAATTGCCTGTTCTCTACCTAGTGCTGGATGAAGAATGGAAGCAGTATAGAGAAGGGTCTGAGGGAGATAGAATGCAAAGCTAACTTCATTACTAAGAAAGTAACTATCCCCCTTTTTACCTTCTTGTTTCTATGTTTGACTTTAATACTTTAGAGAATGGATAAAAATACGATCCCAGCAGAACATAACAGATGACTTGACTTTGACCTTTGAAAAAGTCAAGCTTCATGTAATGGGTGTACTTCTGGGATAAATTGCTTTGACAATAGAGGGCAAGTACTCCACATGCCAGATCAGGTTAAGGTTATTGTATCTTGTGATACTGCCCTACCGTTGCTTGACTTCTCTATGCCAAAGCTTTAGAGCTATTCACATTCTGATCCTAATAGTAACAGCAAGAAACTATTCTTATCTCTATTTTTCAGATGAGGAAACTCAAGCAGGAGGTTATGTGACTTGGGCAAGATCAGTTATGAAACCAGCAGGTTGAGAACAAACATTAGCTCTCCTAGGGTCAAAACTTGTGTACCAAAAGACATGTTACCAAATGATGCAGAAATATAATAATTGAAGAAATATTTCTGAATTTATTCTTCCAGATTTTGATCAAGTCAGGTTAAATGAAACAGCAGACACTGTAGAAACTTTTATAACTTGAAAAAGTACTTTATAATACTTTATAATATTAAATAACTTGTGCAGTATTCAGACAGCACTTTCTCAGTTATGTGCACAGTGTACTTGACATACTGAAATTTAAAAATGTGAATTCTGGACACTTACTCATTTGATGTTATTTAATAATTTTAATTATTTACATTTCAAATAATTCTAAATAGTTAGAATTATTTTTCAATAATTTTTTCTCTATAATCATATACATATGTATATATATGTATATATATATGCTTTCATATGTATAAAATGTATTTTATACATATACATAAGCTTTTTTAAAGCTAATACTTTTAAAACACATTATTTAGAGTATTATTTCATACAAATCACAAAGGAGCAGTTATAGATCATCATAATTTTAAATGAAGAGATCAAAAGAAAAAGCAGATAAGAAGTCTCAGAGGGCCAGGTGTCCTAGTGGTTAAGTGCTGGACTTCATATGGCCAATAGAGTCCCAGACCTGGCAGCTTGAGAATCATGCCAGTCACATGTGCATATATGCCCAACATCCCAAGAGAAAAATGGAGAAGAAGGGATTGTAGCATGGCCATTCCCCATGGGCAGTGATTTCTTTCTCTCTCTCTGTCTCTCTGGCAAACAAACACACTCTATAGCAAAAATCTCTCTCTCAAAAAAAAAAAAAAAAAAAAAAGGAAAAAAGGAACTTTCCGAAAAATAGACTACAACTCTTTGTGATGAGACTGTACTTAATATTTTATAGAACTTACTAGATACTTGTTCATATTTAAGACTTTAGAATATCAAATAATGGAAAACATCATCAGCATCAGTATTATAATTGCCGTTGTCATCAATATCATTGTTGTTCTTGAGCACTTCATCGTTTCTTTCTCAGATTTCTTTTTACCCATAGCAATTGTGACAGTCTGATCTCCCTATTTAAGAATTCTAAGCACCACTGAAAGAGTTTTTTTTCTCGTCTTATGTCTTCTGCACTTAGAAAAGTGATCTGAGCATAGTATGCACTTAATACATCTTAATTGCATATGAAGAATGTAAGAAATTATGAGATAGATTGGTGTGATAAACATGCTGAATTCATATGTTTAAGAGGACTTCATGTAAATCATCTATGTGTTACAGCTACTTATGAATGTTTATGTTATTCTTGGAAGCTGAGCTTGCCAAATTGATTACTACAAAAGGTTTGATGTAATATTTTCCCTGTCTTTAAAATCAACAATTCTATGTGTGAAAGAAGTATAAAACTGAACCAAAATATGATTATGAAAATTCATCACCCAGACAGAAATAATCATTACTTGTTGAGAAATAAAGAGATACCTTATTGAAGTGAGATTTATATTTCATGGAAGATTAAAAAAAAAAAAAAGGTAGAAGGAAATGGAGAAACAATCCTGTGACATGAAATTTTGGAGCCAAATATATGTATAAATATGTATGCCTCTGTGTGTGTGTGTGTGTGTGTGTTGTGTGTAAATACACATTTATATGGAAATCCATATATAGGAGTTAAATATATATAATTACCAGTTGGCATTTACGCTTGCCAGAGAGAGAGATCACACCCTAGTAGGGCATGCTCATGCCACAATTCCTTCTCCATTTCTCTATCCTGTAGAAATTTGAGGCACATATGAACATGTGCTTGATATCCTTTTCAAGACACTAGTGCCAGGATTCCAACTACAGTCAACCATGTGGGATCTGGCTCCCTTAACCACTAGGCTTGGTGCCAACCTGGAGCTAACATGTTTTGATCATTTCCCTATTTAGTATTTCTCCATAACTATTTCATAAATAAATATATTAGTATTTCAGAATAATCTACTCAATGCTGAAAGTAGAATTTAAAGTCATTCCAGGAAGATATAAACTGAAATGGTCATATATTATTTTTAAGAACAAAAGTCTATTCTGCCAGTTTATTCTGAAATCTCAGATTTGGTTGTCAGACATAGAATTTAATTCAAATTCTCTCTTTTATTCTTAAGGTCATATTCTAGGAAGAGACATAGCATATGATTACCAAGTACAAAATAAATCATATATATATATACACAATTTAAAATCATGCCAGGAAGAAATAAATACATATATATAAGAATAGAGAATTAGGTAATTATAAATAGTATTCCATTGTGTATATTTTCTTTACCCATTTATTCACTGATGGACACTTAAGTTGATTCCATATCTCAGCTCTGATGATAGATTGTGAAGCATTTCTACTTTTTGCTTTTTGAGGACCCATCATTGTGTTTTCTATATTGCTATACTAAGTTATATTCCCACTGAGTGTGCAAGAGTTCTCCTTTCTCCACAACCTCACTAGCCCTTTTTTAAATTTTTTTTAACCATAATATCTGTTTTAACTGGGATGAGGTAATAACACATTGAGGTTTTGATGATTAGTGATGTTGGGCATTTTATCACATACTTTTTACCTATTTGTGTAACTTGAGAATTGTCTACCCAGATCAATTGCCCATCCCCTTTTTTAGAGGTTTTTGTCTTTGGGCATGGGTGCTCACTTGCTGGAGAGAGAGAGAAGGACAGAGAGAGTGAGAAGAAAGGCGAAAAATCACCACCCAAGGGGGATGGCCATTCCACAATCCCTTCTCCTCCATTCTCCTCTTAGGATCTTAGGCATGCACACCTGGCATGATTTTCAAGCCACACAGTCCAAGTCTGTACTGGGGTTGTCCAGTTATGTAACTGCTATGCCATTTGCTGGTCCCTCCCATCCCACTTTTAATTATACTGTTATTATTATTATCATTTACTGATGAACTATTTAAGTCTTTGTATATTCTACTTATTAATGTTTCAATTGCAATTATCTGTTTCAGTCTGTAGTTTGTTTCTTAAATCTTTTTTTTTTTTTTAGCTGTGAAGAAGCTTTTTAGTTGAATGTAAAATCATTTTTCTAGTTTTGGGTTCTGTAGCCATATTTTGTGGTCTTATTTAAAACAAACAAAAAAATTAACTAAGTAATTAACAAAACAAAGAAACTTTGCCAAGACCAATATTCTGGAGGACTTCCCCTATACTTACTTAGTAATTTCATATTTTCCATTTTAACCGATTTGAATTTATATTTGTATATGGTGAAAGATAAAGGTTTGTTTTATTTTTTAATATTTTCTCTATTTTTCCCTCAGCACCATTTATTGAGTAGACTATCTTTCCCCAACAAATATTCTTAGGATCTTTGCCAAAAATCAGTTGAATCTGCTATTTTTTTAAAAAAACTCTTGTTGTTAAATTTTTCATTAATATTGTGGATTTTGTCCTGAT